CAGCCCCCACCCCCGGTAACTGCCCTCTCTGCTCGCAGGCGCCCACGTCGCCCACAGTGGACGGAAATAAAGGGCTGAAGTTGCCACCGCCTCCCCCACCCAAGTCCAAGCGGCTGTCACAGCTCTGACCCACTGCCCGCCTGCAGCTGCATTGTCCCCTCACGGCCACCCCTGCCACTGGGATGGAAAAGCCTGTGGTGCCCTTGCTCCCAGCTGGCTGCTGGACAAATGGCTCTGCTTGGTTCTTGCCTGCTGGACCACCCCTCACACGCCTCTCTTGCAGTACTGGGACTCCTTGTGTGCCCTGGCACCCAGGGTGGCACAGGGGACTGCCACCCTATGTCCAGCCAGGTCTGGCTGCTGCCACCCTCCAGATGCCCCCCTGCCCTGGGACCCACCTGCCCCAGATGCTTCCCAGCCCTCAGGCCAGGCTCGCTCTCCTGCTAAGGCGAAGCCGCTGTGTGCCACCCCCTGCCAGGATGTCTCTCCCACACAGAGCTGTGCTGAGCTCCTACCCACACAGCCCCTCCAGCGGTGCGACCACACTGCACCAGAGAACTTTCCTTCCTCCACACTGAACTGCCCACGGACCGTGCCAGGCACAGGGTGACAAGCCCACTCCCCACCGGCACACACCGAGCTCTTCCCTCCTCTCCCACTCTCCATCCCAGGGGCAGCCCCCGTCCCTCTGCCACCCACCCCATCCTGCAGCACCAGGACAAACAGGCACTGGGACTGCACAGGAGCCAGCCAGGACTGTGAGCGGGCCTGGGCAGCATCACGCTTCACACCATGCCACCTCTCCTGTGGGTATCTGGCTTTGCAGCCCTGCTGGTGCCACTGCCTCTGTCAGCCACGCCGGGCACCAGCCCCTGCCTCCCGACTAATAAAGGACTAACACATGAGCTGGGCACCCTACGGTGGGGCTGAAAACCTTGTATGCACCCCAGCACTCATCCCTGCCCAGGGGCCTTTCCACAGCCAGGCACCACGTGGGCACTCTGCCCCAGCACCCTAAAGAGCCAGGATTTGCCTGCTCAGAGGCGGGGGAAAAGCCCAGGGGAACCCGATGCTGCCGGGGAGCACCCTCGCTGTCCCCCGGCTGGGCTGTGCCAGGTCTGGCGCGGTGGCTGCCAGCACGCTGCTCTGCCTCCCAAGCTGGCACAGGGCTGTTTATTTGCACGTGGTGGTGCAGGCTCAGGAGTCGTATTTACAGTCTCGTGTTAACGAGGAGGAACCTGGACCCATAACCAAGGGATGGGGAGGGTGGGGGCTGCCTGCAGCAGGGAGCTGCCATCAGTGGGTTCTTGTCTACGTGGCAGGGTGGGATCAGCTCCCTGGGCTGGGGCTGAAGAGGGGACAAGAGGAGACGGCGTCTTGTGCCACAAACACGAAGTCTGGGACCAGATGGGCTGCGCTGGTGCCTGGGCTCCTTCCACACGCCGAACGGAGGAGCGGGGCGGCAGAGGCACCCGTCTCTCGCCGAGCCCAGCACTTCACAGCGGGTTTGCCGAGGAGGCTGCCAGCCGCTTCCCAATGTAGATCCTGGATTGGAGAGAGCGACAGTCAGGCACCTGCACGGGGGCAGCCTGCTTGGCCTCAGCAAGCCACTAGTGAGGGGACAGGGCAGCAGCCACCAAGACAACTGTGGTTGCTGGGAAGAGCTGTGTAGGACAGCACTCAAGGTTGAGCAGTCCAACTCCCCTTCCCATGGGGACAGCCCCCTGGGTCGGGGCAGCCAAGGGCCCCCAGACTGCACAGACCACTGGCAGCGCAGGGCTCACCCTGCCCGCACCCAAAGGTGGGTTGTGTCCAAGGCCACTCGACAGCACAGGTCGGGCCCATTCAGGCCCATCACAAACTCACCCCAGTCCCAGGGTCAGCACGTGGCTGAGCAGCAGCGAGGGGATGAAGAGCAGCAGCAGCTCTGAACTGAAAAGTCTCTTCTTTCTCCCCACTGCACCTCCCTGCAGGCTCCACAGCACCGGCTGGGGGGAGCACACAAAGGCAAACTCCCTGGGAAAAGTGCACGGTTAAAGGGGGCACGAGGGAAGAGGGCCGAGCACCCAGGAGGGTACGGGGACAGCAGGATGGGGAGGGGAGGCAGATAGCAGGGGCAGAAGAAAGCAGGACATGCCGATGGGGAACACAAGCCTTACTTTGGAGACAGATGTGGAGGGCGACGGGCACAGGTCCAGCCGAGGGATGCTGGCAGGCACGGCTCCCTCCACTCGGCTTCCTCTGGCACATCCCGCTAGAAGGAGGCGTAGAAGGAGGTGAGGCCGGGGTATGGCCAGCACGGCCGCAGGGTGCAGCGTCGGGGGACGGCTCCCTTACCTGCCGGGGGTGGGGACAGCCTGGCTGGGGCTGGCTGCAGGGAGGGAGCAGCTCACTCTCCCCAGGCTGCTCGCTCGTCTGGATGGCTCCGTCGTTATCCCAGGCTGGGGAGTCCAGCATGAGCAGGGCACTGCAAACATAACGTCCTCGGTCACACAACACCCACCCTAGCCAGGCAGGACTCCAGGTACCTGAAGTCTTCCTCAGAACTCACCTGTCACTGCTCTCTGTCTCTAGCTGGGCCTCCAGCAGCATCTTCTCCACGTCAGCGTGGCAGGAGGAGAACCGCGAGGGCTCGGGCTCCGAGCACGCTGGGCCACACCGCAGCTCCACCCAGGAGCCTGGAGGGGCTGTCAGCCCAGCACCAGCCTGGCCCCCGCGCTGCCCATCCGCTCTGCCCATCCGCTCTGCCCTGGGCCCACCAGTGCACCCCACCCCACCCGAGAAGCCTGCCCAGGATCCCTCCCCTGCACCACCGCCCAGGGACATCCTGCCCACCCCTACCCGCCATGGGCCACTCCTCAGCGTCCCCATTTCCCCTGAAACCCCCATCCGCCAACCCCCCATGGC